TGTAATGAGTGTAACACAGGTGCTACTTAATGCGGTTACTATAAAAATCGCGAGAAAAACATTAATATGAATATATTGACATATTGTGGCGCGAGCTCGATCATTACGATAGGTATAAATTATATTATACCTGTTATGTACATGCAGTCAAGAGCTTGACAGCTCTATTATCTTTAACGCAGTGTGAATGAAGAAGGGTAAAAAGTCTTGACATTGGACTGAATCGTAAGTTGAATAATGTATCTTCCGTTTTTACTTCCACTTTATTTATATAACATTGCATGCTGAGCATTAATTTGCTCCAAGATTTAATTTGCTTACCGCTGATATCTAATATCCAAGTGCAGAAGGAAAGATGATTTAACATTGACTATACTGCTGTGTCTATAATAAGTAAATAAAGATTTTTGATATCTTTACTTGTCTCTGTAGTTTTCACCGAAAGACCTTCATGTGCTCACAATATATATATAGCCTACTGCATGCAGTGTCAGTTATAAGCGGTCAAAGCCCATATATTAATTGGTTTGTTGGAAAGTTTTGGTTGCCATGCCTGGATATATTATGTGCTGGGTGGTGCATGGTAGTGATTTCTTCAGGCAAAAGTACAAGATTAGGTTTAAAAAAAACTTTAATAAGCTAGTTTGTCAGACGTTTCGCCGGTTTTCAGAATTTGTTTCTTTTGATCAGTTGTGGACTGGCTGTGGTTATTGTTGTGAACCTTTTTGTCAAGATGCTAAATCTCTTATTCAGTTTGTTTTCGACTGAAGACTTTCCAAAGCCTTTTTGAGGGTTTCAAGGCGAAAAGGGAAGAGGGAGGGCAATCGCTTGCGATAGCTATATTTATTATAAAGACTGATTTAAGTCCAGGCTGCAGCTAGTGTATTAACTTGATTGGCTGCCGCATGGAATATTGTATACAATTCAAATTGGAAAGTAATCAAGTTCATATTTAACAAATATAAACCATTTTCCATGTTGATATAACTATATATCAATACGGAAAAAATGTTTTATATTTTTTTTATAATATAGCAATGTCAAAAGACCGAAGGATAAGAAAAATTTCCGTGTTTACAAGCGGCGGAAAATTTCCCGGGTTGACATTGAGTTATATCAACACGGCTCTTAGCCAATCAGCGTTCAGACTTTACAAATGCTATATTATAAATATATATACTGCATGCAGTGTCGTATGGACCAGCAGTAACTCTTGAAAACAAAAATTTCATTACTGAAATATACAAACACATCGACACATTTCGTATTTCTAACACTTTCAATAAAAGTAACAACTCCTGAAATTAATACTGATCTGCTGCACGGCCTAGGCCATTTGCAGACATGTAAAAACACAGTAAAAATTAGACAAAATATAGGACGTAATATGTAGCCCTTTAATTGGCTTAATTTGTAGGGGCTGCATATATAACCCCCAATAGTCAGGGGCCCTTGGTGAAGGGGGGCCCTGAGCTAGGATACCTAGCTGCATGGGGTTAATCATCTACGAAGAAAATAAACAATTATAATTACAAAGTACTGGACTCCCCCTTCCCCTTAGGTGCCCCTCAACACAAAGTTATGGCAATACCCAAGCTTAAGGGGGCTTACTCGGGCTTAATATAGCTATATTCAGAATCTGTGTTAGCTTATATATAGGCCGTATAGTTATATCTTATTTTGGCAATGCAGTGACAAATACACAGTTCAGAATTAAAATAGTGTAAATTTAACTTAAATCTTAATGGATGCTATAACCTCATCTATTTCTATTATAAATATATCGTTCGTATAGTTGATATTGTAGCCGATTAATTTTTGTTCCTGTTGTTCCCATAACGCCTATATGTATCCTTTCAGAACAATACAAAACGAATATACCTTCGTTTTGTGTTTTGTCCTCTCATTTGAATACTATTTTTTACTATAAATTCACGCAGATGCATGCAAGTTTTCCTCTTATATATATATATAGAGTTAAAACAAATGAATGATCTGATAAATGTATAGCCTGAGTATATCAGACCAGATTTTCTCTTGGGCCTGATACAAAGGATAACAAGTGCAATTCTTGTTTCATTTAAATCTGTCCGACATAACTGTTATATTGGACTTAGCTTTCAATATCATACAGCTTGCTTTTATAAGTGCGTTTGATTTAGATATCTTGCAAATTCTGTAAATTATTCATATTGATAAGCATTTTAACATCTCCAGTTCCGATATGATAAATTTATTAATAATAATTATTGAATCAAAAGTATAGGAATGAAATTATAAACATAACCCCGTATATTCATTATTAGAAAATTCAAACTTTCAATTAACATTAATCCCCTCCTTGCATGCATGCCAAGTGTTCATGCACCTGCAGCTGCATGGCCAACATGTGTGCCTACGCAAAAAAGTATAACAATAGGACGAATTAACATCTGTTAACTTACTGCAAACTCGTATCTCTCATATAGGCCTACTAGAAATTCGTTAACGCATGCATATAGCTATCAATTTTTGCAGCTAGATACATATAAAATTTGCAAATTCATCTGGAATCAACTGTCAATATAGATTCTCTGCAAGTCTTATAAATAGATGTTGCATTTCGTTGCCAAAAGGGTGTAATGTCATATAATAATAATAATAATAATTTATTCATTTAAATAAAGCGCATATGTTATATTATATACTCGAAGCGCTGTACATTATAAAAATCTAAATATATTAAGTATTAAATATGCTATATGAAACATGGTATTGTATACAATTAGAATATACACTATACACTAATGTATGTATCTACAGGGTGTATAAAAAAAAACGCAACCTCGGAATTTCCCAAGAAATCGACATTGTTTTAAAGACAAAAGATTTTAGGCGCCTGGGAATTTAAAATAGCACAACTGTCAAAATTACTGCACACGCGAGTGCATACAGCAAAGTTTATGCATTTATTTAATGCACAACAACAGTAATATGATCTATTATACAGGGTGTCTCAAAAAAAACTCATTTGAAAACAAAATCATTGAAATAACGTATTGTTCGAATTTCAATGCCGTAACACAAAGGATTTTGACAGGGTGATTAATTTGTTTTAAAAAATTAAAATATCTTTGTAAAGTGAACGTTTGTTTGTTCATGGGAATTTAAAAATGCTTCGTAAATTGTAATATGCGTAATATGCATTCGTGGGTTTAGTACTTTATGCCTGACATAACAAGTTTACGCTGAGTATTACCATTCATTATAGCAGTTATATCAATCTTTTATGCACTCGTGGGATTAACTTAGTGCTAGGGCATTGAATATCGAACAATACGTCAATTTCAATGATTTTGGGGTTTTTTGAGACACCCTGTACAGGGTGTATCAAAAAAAAGGAGACCTTTAGAAATCAAGCATATTGTTAAAATTTGAATGCCTTTTCAATTGCACATACGCTGAACCGTGGTGCGTGAAATATTGATGGAGTGCATATATCCCCACGAGTGCGTAACATGCGATCTACGTACAGTATGCATGGCAGATTGTTCCCAGGAGCAGACAATATTTTGTTTAAACGTTATTTCAATTTCTAAAGGTCTCCTCTTTCTAATATATGCACTCCATCAATATTTCACGCACCACGGTTCAGCATATGTGCAATTGAAAAGGCATTCAAATTTTAACAATATGCTTGATTTCTAAAGGTCTCCTTTTTTATGATACACCCTGTATAATACCTTATTAAATTCTAATCATTTAATTGGCTGTTTATGGTCACGTGATATTGAATAGAAAATTCCATTTCCCAAGAGTGCAATGGAACACGTTCCATTGCACTCTCCGCGAGTGCAATGGAATAAAACGTATAGTACAATTGCACTCTTTGTGTTTTCGATAAATCGCATCCCTCAAAATGCTTCTCATACGAATCTATTAGTCTATTTTGGTATATATAAAACAAATAATGAATGTTTCTTCGTGCAATGGTAAGAATATTTTCATTCGGTGAAAGATGGAATGTTCCATTCAACTCGGCTGTCGCCTCGTTGAATGGAACATTCCATCTTTCACCTCATGAAAATATTCTTACCATTGCACTCATAAACATTCATTATTTGTATATTAGCAATTCGATTTCAATTCCCAGGGGCCTAAAATCTTTTATGCTTAAGAATTGCAAAGTGATTTCTTAGGAAATTCCGAGGTTGCGTTTTTTTTTAACACCCTGTATAATAAGAATGATAGAATCCAATATGGTCTCAACCTATAAAGGGTTATAAGCCTTATTGAAAAGAAATGTTTTCAAGCGTTAACGCATGCATGCTGTTCGTGTCAGCGTTTTTTGTGCTTGGATATACATATTTTTGCGCAAGTTCTACAACAATGCATTAGCGCTTTGTTATATGCCTATACAGGGTGTCTCAAAAAAACCCAAAATCATTGAAATTGACGTATTGTTCGATATTCAATGCCCTAGCACTAAGTTAATCCCACGAGTGCATAAAAGATTGACATAACTGCTATAATGAATGGTAATACTCAGCGTAAACTTGTTATGTCAGGCATAAAGTACTAAACCCACGAATGCATATTACGCATATTACAATTTACGAAGCATTTTTAAATTCCCATGAGCAAACAAACGTTCACTTAAATTAATCACCCTGTCAAAATCCTTTGTGTAACGGCATTGAAATTCGAACAATACGTTATTTCAATGATTTTGGGTTTTTTTGAGACACCCTGTACAGTACACAGCTACTGTATTTCAATTAATTAAGATTTAAGGTTGTCAAGCGGAAAAGTCGAATACGAGCGCGAAAGGCTTATTAAACACAGTACAAAAATGCAATTTGGTGCCCAACAAATGAAACTTCCGGCGTTTCCGCCTACAAGTTATATTTAGTACGCAACATTCTTCTGTCCGCCGCCAGTTGGTCCGTACGCTATGATTAAACTGCGCTTTAAAACGTTCAAAATAAAATATTTTGGGGCTTTTGGGCTCAAAATATTATCAAAATGAAGAGAGAAGTGAGACGAATCCACTGATATACGGCTGGAAAAGAGAAAACCAACGATACCAAAGTTATCAAGAATCAAACCTACTGCATTTTTTATAATTAGTTTAATTAATAATTTTGAGCAGATTTGTCAACAATACAATTTCGCTTGATTTTCAAAGGCCATAAATCGCTAGAATATTGGTGTTTATAGTAATACATTTGACATCCGTAAGTACAATTTCCTACGTTGAATCGAACGGTGGTATTTTTATTCTTATTGCGCCATTAGGCAATACATACAAGGGCAAATATACTGCGAGTGATTTGTCAACAATACGTACAGCGAGAGACTCGTCAACAATACAATTTCGCTTGATTTTCAAGGGACATAAATCGCTAGAATATACTGGGTGTTTTATGATACATTTGACATCCGTAAGTACAATTTCTTACGCAGAATCGAACGGTGGTATTTTTATCCTTATTGCGCCATTAGGCATTACAAATACAATATCATATTTCACACTACAGTTTTCACGTTTCCCAGCAGCTAACTATTAGGGACTGTTGTTAGATAAATTTTATATTGATATGACACCAAATATGCTTCTCATAAAGTACACAGCCAGAAACGCACAAGTCGGAACAGGTCTGCAACAGATCTGTTAAATGCTGCATGTTGTCAACAAGCCGATATCTGGATGCGTTCGCTCGCCTTGTACCTGTCTGTTCTGACAGGTCCGCAACGGCCTGTCAACAGGTCTGTTACAAGCTGTTGTGACAGAGCTGCAGCAATGCTGTTTTCAACAGGTCTGTTAGAAGCTGTTGTGACA